AAGAGAGTGCTATCAGAAGGGAAAATGAAGGTGACTTCCGTCTACTGGGAAGGAGGGAAGCATACAACGGCAGATTCAATGGTGGAAGATTCTTTGGAGTAGAAGAATCAGAACGAGCGTCAAGTATGGGGCGCAAGGTATCATTCACCATGGATGATAGCAGGCTCTATCGTAATTCAGATGCTGGGGAAACATCTGGGTATGCAATGGCAGATGACGATGACGACGATGCATACAGTGACTATGATGAGGCTCAGGATGGCAGGAAAGAGCCCGAAATTATCTGCAAACATCTTGATCATGTGAATATGCTTGGACTTAGCAAGACAACACTTAGATTGCGATACCTGATCAATTGGTTGGTGACCTCATTACTGCAGCTCCGGTTGCCTGATTCAGGGGATGGCGAGGGGGTACCCCTTGTTTATATATATGGTCCAAAGATCAAATATGATCGTGGAGCAGCAGTTGCATTCAATATAAAGGACTGCAACACTGGAACCTCCCTGATCAATCCTGAAACTGTACAGAAACTGGCAGAAAAAGAAGGCCTCTCCTTGGGGGTTGGGTTTCTAAGCCATATACGCCTCCCAGACAACCAGAAACATGGTGCTGTTGATGTGGGGCTAAGTTCTTCCTCTCCAGCAGCAAATGGCCGTCGTGAAAAGAAAAATAGCAAAAATGCTATTATTGGGACCGAAGTGGTCACTGCTTCTCTTGGGTTCCTTACAAATTTTGAGGATGTCTACAGGTTGTGGGCATTTGTTGCAAAGTTTCTTGATTCATCATTTCTTGAGCAAGAGAGGCTATCATCTATTCCTGAGGATGCAGAAAGATAGTATTAGATGGTTCCAGTTTATGGCTATCGCAGCTACTTCATAATAGAGGAGGGTGGCACCAGTGTAATTGAAACTGAAAGGAGGATAGAAGAAGAGATGTCAAGGTGCTTCTGCGTATTTTTTTTATCCAAATGTCTCAGCATGGCATCAAGGGGCAATACTTGGCGGTGCGGCTGTTATATTTCTTAATTCTTATTTTCTCCCTTTTCTAGGCATGCGACTTTTTGTTTGTAGATTTTGTTGGAGATCTATATGTACCACCTAATTATTTTGAGGAGCATCCTGTCCATGTACTTGCTTGTAAATTGGCTCCATTGGCCATGAAATAGATTTGCTCGCTTGTATGATTCTTGCAACATGAATGGCATGATGATAGGTGATTCTATCCTTTTTTCGTTTTGTTGTTGAATCCAAAGGTGTCCCAGATGTTAATGTCTGCTGTAGTGCTGTTTTGAATTTATCGACTTAAGTACATGCTAATTCCCATCAGGTCGGTTTCTGATGACATTGATAATAATGGTCTACTAGCTACAGTTTTTCTTTTAGCTATCATTCCAGACAATACTTTTATCTTGTCTCTCTCTTTTACCTCTTTTAGCTTTACTGGTAGTCTGGTACAACTAAGCGCAATAAAGTAGTCCAGTTAATCATGTGACAATTGGTTGAAAGAGTGGATCCTGGTGAGACTGAAATGGCCTGCTTCCTAACATATGCTGACCTTTTTCTGGGGCGCTGTTGCCAGTTGCAAATTTTGTATTTGTATTATATGGTGATTCCGGGTGATCCCTTGTAAAGCTTATGGACAGGGTTGTTGAGCAGGTGGTTTCTTTTGGTGCATTTGGCCGTGCTGTATCTCAAAAGGTAAATTGTTCTATTTGCTGCCTTTTGTCTGTTTGCTTAATCTCGAAGCTCTGTTGTTGTCTTGCGCGAGCAGGGAGAGTTGGATTTGTTACGGGGCTGCAGGTGGCGCGGGCGTGGCGCTTCTTTCGAGCTGCCCTTACGTTCTGAATATTCAGAACCGCCTTGCCTGCATGGGGAAACCATAAGAAAATGGAACGGACAGACTCCTAGTACAGAGTACATGTCATAGTGCATTATTCCTAGCTGCATAAATCGTACCAAAACTGTTTGTTTCATCCCACGACGTTAGCATTCTCGCTCGTCTCGTGTTCTTCAAAACCTACAGCTGCTTCCTCATCATGTGGAAACGAAGCCAGGGTTTTACCATGACATGGACACATGGTGGAGTTGGGTAGCAAAGTTGTGCAGTAGCTGAGGGCGATCGCCGCCCAGCTCGACCACCAAACGCAAACCGGCGTGCTGTTTTGCGGCTCCGTCTCGTGCCGCACTGCCGCGGCGGCATAGCCCAAAAGGCTAAAACCGCCCGCCCGGCCGGCCACCTTTCGCGCGCGCACTGATTCCGTTCGGCGACTCCGACGTCCGCCCGTCACGTCCCGTTGGTGCGGTGCCTGTCAACCCAGCCGGATGGTTGGTGCCTGCCAACTCGCTGCCCCGGGTGGAAATCGCGCGCACCCGGCAAGGACGGGCGGCAGCAATCAGAGGCGCGGACCGTGGTGCCGTTGCCGTTGCCGTCGTGGGGGGGCGGCGGCTTGCGACACGGCGAGAGGGACGGCACGCGCTGGCAGCACGGGCGGCAGCAACGGCAACAACATCCTCTCCTGATCCCCTTGCTGCCAGCACGATCCAGAAGCAGTAGCACGCTGCACAGATGATACGTTAGCTGCTCCACTTCCACTCCAACCGATGCGAGCTCCGGCAAGAGGATGACGTGGGGAGGTTGTTGACCGTGCACCGACCGCGTCCACGTGGCCATGTCAATACTAGTAGTACCAGAACATGCGTGGCACGAGCGCTTTTCCAGTCAACCCTGTTGGGTACGACTGATCGAGTACGACCAAGACCCTGAGTACGACTACGAAGTGAACAAACATTTCTATCGAAGGGATCGCCAGATGCTACCGTAATACGTGTATTATTTTTTTCCCCGCCCATCCCACCAAGCAAATCGACGATTGTTCAGGCCTAGGAACGAATAGTAGAGTACTATACACGATGGTGTCAAAATTGTCTGACACATGTATGGTGTGACTCTGGCATTGACTATACGTAATAGAGCCTCATCTCTGTCTGTCCAGACTTTTGACTTGGTTTTTACAACTAACAAAACTGTTCTCTTTCGTAAAAGTCAAATCCTACGTGACGCAAAGACAACAACACCGTTGGACTGTCATCGTTCCTGCAATCACAATCGGACGGACGACTAATTGCTCAAGCACACGGGGCCCAGATCGCAGCACCTGGACGGAAACACAATCAGGCACGTAGTACAAACCTAACGTCGTGTCAGGAAAATGGAACAACTTGCTGGCCACCAAGACCATCAGATTACCAGTAGTACTCCTACTGTACCAGTAAGCATATATACAAATGGAAAGATACAAATTTTAGTGGAAGACCATGCTGATGGCCACTGCTCTGCTGGCCATCCGACGTAACCTGACCTTCCCCGTGCCGAGTCAAGATCCACCGCTGTGCCGCACCAGTCACACCCCCAAGACCCCAGACATGGATTCCATCTCGCTCCTCCTTTGTAAAAGGCTAAAAGCACCCGTGTCGCCAAGCGCTGCTGCCTACCCATCACATACGTACGCGGTACGCCGATCCAAATATCCCGGTCATCCCCAGCAAATCGTACTCATGGCGCCGCCGGGGTCCAGCTCGTCCGTTCCGCGACGTGCTGCCGCCGCTCATAAATACGCTGTCAGGAACCGCCGGCCCCCCGCCGGCGAGCGAGGAAGCGATCGGATCCGGCAAAAACACCGGAGATCTTTTGTGAGTTTGTGGGCGAGGGCCGAGGGTGGACTGGTCTCGCTCTCATCATTGCGATGCAGATGCAGTGCGTACGTCCTATAGCTAAACGCTCGTACATGTACATGGTCCTGTGCTTGCCTCGCGCGCCTCATCAGCTGGTTAATCGCTCGAGCGTTTTTCCTCAATCTACCTGGACGATAGCAACGCGGAACGTGGATCGAGAAATGAGAAGTTTGGTATGGTACTTTTTCCAGATTTGCTATCTCATATTTTTTTTATGAGCTTTTTACGGCATGGAGCGTGGCCAGGAGAACGCCACAATGGCAGCACAAGCATCCCTGTTGTTCCCGGTCCGTGCCGTGGTTGATCCGTTGGTGTCAAATTTGTTCTGGTCCCCCGCCAAAGCCGGGTAAGGGCAGGAGGCGGGGAACACGCGAGCACAGCGACGCGCCTGACCCCATTGGGCGCAACGGTCGGGGGCGTGTGCCGGGCGTCGCGTCATCGCATCGCATATTCGCACAGTCGCACGCCGGCCTGGGCCTCGCGCGCCGGTTTCGGAGCGGTTGTTGGTTCCTGGCTGTGGGTTGCGGGCTCGCGGCATTAGCGTGTGTACATGGGCTGATTTCAGACTTTTAGATGGGCTCTTCAGGGCTTGTTGACACGATCAGGTAGTTCTGTGGGCTGTTTTAGCAGGATTTGGCGCGATCGTTGTTGGGCTAGGCTTCTTCCTACCTTTCCGATAGGGAGGCAGAAAAGCGGAGTATTATGGGCTTCGCCTTCTCGAAGGAGACCTGTAAATGGAATCCCGCCAACATACAAAAAAGGTGTAAAAATCGTGGCATTAACGTCTGGACAGGAGGAAAAGGTGACTCGAGGAGGGGGTGTGGAACTGTGGACTGTGGAGCTTGCAGACGGAGCTTAATGTAATGTGTGGGTGTAAACTGAACGCGAGGCAAATGAGAAGGATGAATGATTCATTGATTCGGCGTCGTTACATATTTCCGTTAGGGGACCAACGCCGCGGTGGCAACCGTCGTCCAATCAGTGTCCCTCCGCCCACCAAATGGACCTCCTCCATGTCACCACCAAGGATAAACTCCCCCTTGGCAACCGTCCATTCCCCGCCCCGCCTTATCCTCCCCTCACCCCCCGTACAAAACCACGCTCCCTCCCGCCCGCCCGCCGCTCAAGCCATCCATCCCGTCCACCACCACCTCGCCGGCCACACTCGTCTTTCTCACGAGCCACAGGTAAGCGTCGTCGTTGCTTCATGCCGCATTCCAGTTCTCTGCACTGCATTACAGTCACAGTAGTCCACACAGCGCAGGGATGGCGTCGTTCGCTGTGGCGACGATCCCGTCGCTGGCGGTGCCGGCGGCCAAGAAGAGGTCCGGCGGCGTCACGTACGTGGAGGGCATGAACGCCTACAGCGGCCTCAAGGGGCTCAACAAGGTGAACATGCTTGGGGTGCGCAAGACCGCCGACTACTCCTTCGCCAAGATCGTGGCGTCGCTCAGCCCCGCCGCGGGCAACAAGCGGCGCGGCGGCGGCGCGTTTGGTGCCCAGATGAACGCCGCCGCGGAGATCTTCAGGATCGCCGTCACCATGAACGGCCTCGTGCTCGTCGGCGTCGCCGTCGGGTTCGTGCTGCTCCGGGTGGAGGCCGCCGTCGAGGAGGCCGAGTAGGGTGCGCGCGCCTCTGCCCCCGTAACAGCCACTCACTCGGCTGTCGCCCATAGCCCTCCTCTGCTTCATAAGCCGTGATATATATATAAAACGTGATGTATGCTTTCGATTCAATTTACTTTGGTATGTAATCCATGACAATTGGTCAATACTATAGAAACATGTTTTTGGAGTCGAGGTCTGCAATTGATCTTCATCAGGTGTTCACATCAACAGGACTTTATTCGGTTTTGCGATTCTGAAATCATAATGCAAAAACATCATGATGTCTTGAAAATCAAATCAAATCAAATCATATACAGCTTCGTAGCAGGAGAGAGATGCAACCAAAGTTTTTATTCTTCATCAATACTGTGGGATACTTGAATTATCTAATCTATACGCTAGATGATGCAACTAAATAGAGCATTCAAAATGCACACCATAATAACAACAAAAAGGTTTCAGATCAAACGCCTTCACGAGCATCTGTTACAGAACAACTCATTTGAGGCATGGGTTTCTGCTCTACAGCTCACAACAGATGAGTCTAAGTAAAATGTTCTATAACCGAACGCCAAGAAGACTTGTAGTGGAAAGGCTCAAAGGATCATCCTAATTCTTCTGACATATCATGAGGCTTCTTCAGGACCGTCAAATCGAACGTAAAACTGGCAGTGCTATGGATGTCTTGTTACATCGGTCTCTGACAAGCCGAGAACAGCTGCCAGCTGATGAAAGCCATAACAAGTGAGGAGAAGAGCTCGAAACCAACCACCTTTGGTGTCTGCCACTCCAATGACCTCCTCAAGTAGCTGCAATATTTGAGTATGTTTGGCCCAGTAAATAATACGGCAGTGATACTAAAGAACTACAAAGCATGGAATGCACAAATCACAGCAAAACAATGATTGGTAAAGAATGGTATTTCCCGGTCAGTGGAGAGTGTTTTTACATACTCCCTCCATCCCAAAATATAAGTCATTTTGACTTTTTTGGCACATCTATTTTGCTATGTATCTAAATATGATATTATGTCTAGATACATAGCAAAATGGATGAACCAAAAAAGTCAAAACGACTTATAATTTGGAACGGAGGGAGTATATAGTCCACCATAATTGGGTAGCATGAAACATATGCAAAAGTTAGTCCTAGCTTAGGTAAATAAGAACTACCATAACTCCTCAAAGAATAAGATTAATTACTATTCATGCCGTAGTTGAAAAGAAAACTCAAACGCCCTTTGGTGTACTAAGTTTGATTAGCAGGGAGCAAGCGAAAAGAATTCAAGGTATTCATGGAACCTTGCACATGACGTTGATACATCCAATGGAGATGGAAAATTAAGACTTCTAAATTAGAAAGTTTAGGGTTGAGAAAAAAAATAAATTTGCTATCTAATCCATCAGGTGTTAAGCATGGTGTTGAAACGGCTAAGAACTCAGATAATCTTCCTGAGCTCATACTGATTGACAACACCGGCAACAACAATGAAGCCTTTTAGTCTCAGTCCATACAAATTACAAATCATGCTAGAATAATCTACAGCATGGTTTAACAACAAAAAAGATGACATACACACCTAGAAATCATTATTTCTTGTAATAAAGCACTTTCTGTTTCAGAAAACAAGGGAAATAAGAACATATAAACAAAGTGGAGCGTTGTTTACCTGGTGATAGATGGCATTGTTGCCAAGAGCAGAGCACATGCATAAATTATTGGAATCAAAGTCCTAGGCTTGTTCTTCCTAAACCACATCAAGGATCCTAATGCAGCAAGGGAGAGGGTCATCACCTGTATAAAAACATAAATAAGCATTCTTCTTGTTGACAAATATGTCAAATAAACATCATGAGTTGCAGCACTAGGAAGTTGCTTTCTTCAAATCAAGGAATCTGGTACTATATTTTTACATAGTACTGAGTGCATACAAGATTAGCATTCGCTTCAAGTCCTTGAAATATGTACTCCCATGTAAATTCAAGCCCTCTTGCCCCAATCCAGAGAGGTGCCAGTCGGTGCAGAACTGAATCAGCAAAAGCCCAACCTGAAAACCCCAAAACAACCGCCTTTGATGATAAGTGACAACAAAGTTATCATTCACTGAGAAAGGGACAAAATCTCACATTTTTTCACAAATTTATGCAGAGAAACTAACAAAACGAGATGTTGTCAAATTTCAGACACTGAGAAAGGGCCAAAGTCTAAGGGCCTGTTCAGATCTCATTCTCAGAGCGAGATTCTGGATTCTGGATAGTGAATGTAGAATCTGGATTCTGGATAAAAAAAATAAGGGGAGTTTGCATCCCATTCTCATAGTGATTATTGCCTTTGCATAGTAAAAATCTCTAAATAGTAGTTTGAGGTAGACAGTTGGATTCTAGAATCTCATTCTACAACCCAAGTGTTTGGATCTCATTCTCATAATCTCATTTTTCTACCTCATCTCATTTTTCTTAGGAGATCCAAACAGGGCCTAAGTGTGCTTCCATATATCCAAGCCATGTCATGGAAAACTAGGTGCAGTGCAACTTAAGATGGGCACAGGTAGTAAAGCTTAAGCATATATTTTCAGCACATAGCATGCAAGGACAAATACAAAAGGCAGAGGATGAAGATGCAAAATTAGAAGAGAGAATAAATGTCACCATGGCCAAGGATGCAGTTTGATAATTTGACATGAATCAAATTTCAGAGACAACTCTGTACTTACCAAGACCAACAGCCTGGAACTTATGATTCTGAGAGATATTTCTGTGGGTCAACTGTGTCAAAGCAAAATACAGTCCAGCTACATCTATGAATCCAATAAAAACTTTCATTAACTCCTGAAAGTGGAAACAACAGGATAGATTAGAGGACACCAAGTTCGAACCAAAGTGTATTTTGCGTGTCCAATAAAGTGTAGCAAATATACCTGATAGGGATCAAAGCTATCATTCTCAGGTACTTTGAGCAATGTTGCCAAGCAAACAAGCTGCCAATATGATATAGAAACATTAGCAGCCAATTAACTACCATTGGTTCACTGAACTCATCATGATAATAAGCATAGGAAAAAAAAAATAGAATGGTATGGCAAAGAATTACACAAGTAACATCAGACGCTGAAAGTTAAGAACAAAACTTTATAGCATGCAAAATAAACTATAGAAAATTGAAATCAGGGAAAGGTTGAATAACTTCTTTAAAACAATCAAAGAAAAATCTGTTCCTTATGTGTCATGTTACACAGAAGGCAAAAGTTTGTATTAAAAATCAAAAGGATGTATATAGCTTGCAGGATATATTAACGTTATTAATAGGAAAAACTACTGAAAGAGCATCAAGTATTAATAAAAAAAGGTAGGCACAACAAGGCGATGAGAACACAATCAAACAAGAAAAAAATGATTGGGTAAGAGATCACTTAATGATAGATTATTTGGCTAAACAACAATGGTTCTCACTGGGAAATATGACAAAGCACAACTAGGCACAAAAAGATTGTGCACCAAACCTCAAATTATTATTGTACATACAAAATTTTGGGTTTTACCAATCTATGAACAAATCAATAATCCAGAGGCAACATCTGATTTTCTTTTTCCTTCTGGAATTTTTCATGTTATTTGGTGCCCAAACAAAAAGATCTGTTTTCCCAAACTTGCACCTAATCGTGATTTCCCACTAGATGTATCCCTTTACTGCTTTAAATTTCACAATGCATAAGAATCCTGGACTGGTTGCTGACCTTTACAAGTGCAGTTCCAAGATAAACAGCAGCTGCTTTTACAGAAGTGCCGATTGTATCATACTCTGACCTGAAACGGATGATTGGATAAAAAAATGTTTAGTCCAAGGAACCTTTGGATGCAGAACGCTGTTTTCTTGTATGTTCAGATAAAACTAGGTCAGCTAGGTTACATTGCAAAGAATCCATGAACTAGTCTACATGTTCCATGGGTTATGGGTAGACGCCCTCATTCCTCAAGTGGGTGACAGTCAAAAAATAAGTAGGGTTTAGTTGATCTGGATGTGACTAGACCTTTATGTCACTGAAAAGGCATGTCGCCACAACCTGAAACCTACAGAAAAAATACTACACTAGAAACCATTTAATATAATTCAATCCGCCAGCCTGTTATTTACATGATGAATATACTTTCAATGTAATATTTTCCACTCCGGAATGCACTTAACATTTTCATACTATCATGTGGTTACTCTCTAGTCTTGACTGACAATATGGATCCAGTAAGCATTTACATCCACTTCTGGTAACATTAAGTCCTTCACAAGGTTCAACAATCAGTAGGATCATTTCATATCGCTAGTGGGTTGGTTCAATAAAAAGCGCCTTCCACTTGTTTCAAGATCATAAAAATAAAAGGGTTCCCTTATACAGCCCAAACAAAAAGATGTACGAATGAAGTGAGCTTACCTGACAGGTACATTTCTCGCTAAAGTTCACCACCCCTTCCACTCGCATATTCAGCCCACACTAGATGTCGACTGAAAAGCTTACCTGAATCCAGCTCGTAAACTAATTAATTGCTCAGCTAACTAGATTCGACTGGAAAACCTTAATCCACTCAAACTAAGCTCTGAATCCCAACGAACAGTGCAACGTAAGTTCGCCAACCAACTTCACTGAGCGAAATTCACTGCAATTGCACTGACTACAACCCCATCCCACAATCCGGGTCAAAAATAGAACTCCCACAATCAGGCGTTCGGACTCTCCGGTGCAGATCACGCAACAAAGCGACCAGATCAAGTAACAAACGCAGATCCCGCAAGTTTAGCATACGGATCTCACGGAGACAGGTAGGGGGAGAGAGAGAGGAAGCAGGGAAAGGGAGGTACAGGGGGGTGGCGGAGTAGTAGACGACGTGGGGGCCGAAGGTGAGGAAGGCACAGTTGAGGAAGTGGAAGACCGTCATCTCGCCGCCGTCGTCGTCTCCGGCGTCTGTGCAGCGGCGAGGGCGATGCGCCTGAGACCGTACGTGCGAGACGATTGGGGGACGCGGTTG